CCCCGCCTGAGCAGCCGCCCGCTGCGTGCCGCCTGTGATCTGCCTGCAGGATTGGGGAGAAGCAGCCCACGGTGGACTATGCCGAGCCCAGCCAGCGCGACGGCGGCGGCGGCGGCGGCGGTGGCGGTGGCGGCGGCGGCGGCGGCGGCGGCGGCGGCGGCGGCGGCGGCGTGAAGAATGTGTTTGTGGGCAACCTGCCGCCCGGCGCCACCGAGGACCGCCTGCGCGACATCTTCAACAAATATGGAGAGGTGCGGGGGTGGGGGAGAAGAAGGATGAGAGGGGTGCCAGGGAGGAGCGCAGCAGGCTGAACCCTGCGCCTGCCCGTGCGCGCGCCGCAGCCCCAGTGTTTCCCGCTTTGCCTGCCTTGCCTCCTGGCTTGTCTGCCTTCCCCGCTCACCCGCCGCCTGGCCCTGCTGCCGGCCGGCAGGTGGAGCGCACGCACATCCCGCGGCCGCGCGACGGCGACACGCACTCCAAGTATGGTTTCGTGCACTTCCGCGAGCGCGCGGCGGCGATGCGGGCGGTGGAGGATGTGGAGAAGCCGGAGCTGGATGGAGGCCTGCTGAACGTGAGGCAGCGCAGCACACGGCCTGCCTTGTGCACAGGAGGTCTCTGCCCGCGCTCTGGGCCCACGCTGGGCGGCCTGACGGCCAGCCAGCAGCGCCGCTTGCTGGGGCGCTAGGTCGGGCAGGCCTTGCGGTCTGATGAGATCCAGCCAGCCCCGCTTCGCTCATGCCCCTGTCCTCCCTTCCCCCAACGCAGGTGCGCTATGGGCGGTCAGACGGCGGCCAGCAGCAGGGTGGTGGCGGCGGCGGCGGCGGCCGCGGCGGCGGGAGCTACGGCGGTGGCGGCAGCGTTGGCGGGAGCTACGGCGGCGGCAGTGGAGGTGGCGGTGGCATGGGTGGCGGCGCCTACGACGCGTCTGGGGCCGGCGGCATGGCTGGCATGGCTGGCATGGCTGGCATGGGCGGCATGGGCGGCTTGGCTGGCATGGGGATGCCTGGCATGCAGGGCATGGGCATGATGATGGGCGGCAACCTGGTCTCCCTGGTGCCAGTTCAGCTGCCCAACGGCCAGGTGCGGCGCACAGGAGCAGCCTGTGTGGAGCAGGGCGGGGCGCTGCGAGGCCAGGCCATTTGTCTGTTTGGCCCTTCGCCCCATGTGTCTGCTGGGCGCAGCGACTGCTCCCTCTACAGCCGCCGCCAGATCGGCCATGCTAACAGCAGTGATGGGGCCCCACCCTCTCGTTCTGTGCTGCCTGCCGATTGGCTACATGATGGCTGGCACGGGTGGCATGCCCGCGGCTGGCATGGGCGCCGCGGCAGGCATGACCGAGGGCGGCGCCGGCGGGCCCATGCGCGGCAGTGCCAGCGGCTATGGCGGGGGCGGCGGGGCTGGCGGGGGCTATGGTGGTGGCCGCGGTGGACGAGGAGGGCGTGGAGGTGGCAGCGGGCAGCGATACGCGCCCTACTGAACAACGAAAACTGTGGGTGGCGTTGGGGTGGTACCGCTGCCAGCCAGTCAACACGTCAATGTTCGTCTCATCCTCCTGCCCCACTCTCCCTTTTTTTGCACGAGCTGTGTAACCGAGTTTCAATTGAGGTTCGGGGCGCTCCCTTCGAGCGGCTTTGCGGTTCCACTCCGCTTTCCTAAATCGCCTACCCCTGAAATCTGGGGGTCTGGGCGCCTGCCAGCACTCTTGCGCACCCCCAAACCCCAGCTGGGGTTCAACCGGGCATTTGTGGGGCCTGAACGGCGCAGCAGGAGCCTGTTAGCAAGCAGAATGGCGCCCCCCACAGGGGCTGGGCCGCCGGTGAGTGGGGCTCCCCGCCTGGCCTGCCCCTCACGCTCGTGGCCCGCTCACCTGACCGCCCTTGGGTGTGCTGCAGGTGCCCGTGAAGGCTCAACTCACGAGCGCCTTGGCGCAACTCCGCCACACCTGTGAGCCGCCGCGCCGATCACCCCGCCTAGCGCCCCGCCTCGGCTGTGGCGCTTCTCGATTCGGTCTTTGCCGCCCGCCACGCGGGGTTTCGTCGCTTCGTCGCCCCCCGCTCTCCGATGTCCCCCCTCTGCTGGCCATTTTGCTTGCCAATGCTGCTGGGAGAAGACCCCGTTGGCGCCCTAGCCGCCCGCAATTCCGCTGCCACTCAGCCTGAGGGCGAGGCCGCGCTCACCAGCCCGTTGTGGCGGCTTGCCGTTGTCATTCCAACCTCCGTCCCTTTTCACCGCTGTGTGCAGTCGTCGTAGCCGATGCAACGCTGCCAGATTGCCCTCTCATCTATGCCAGCGAGGGGTGAGGCACGCCGCCAGGCTGCGTTCTCACCCGAGGCGGTGAGCGGCAAGCGGCAGGCGAGCACGTCGCGCCGTTTCTCACGCCTGGTGCTCGCTGCCCCGGCCGCCTGTTCTGCTGCAGGTTCGTCCACATGACGGGATACAGCATGGAGGAGGTGCTGGGGCACAACTGGTGAGCAGGGGTGCCGCCGCGCTCGGCTGGCACCCCGTCCGCCAGCACACCGGCGCCGCCTCTCCATTCTGGCGCTCTCCACTATGCGCGTGCGTGCCCCTCCTGCAGCCGCTTCCTGCAAGGCGAGGGCACCGACCCCAAGGATGTGAAGAAGCTGAGGGATGCCGTGCGCAACGGCACCCCCGTCTGCACCCGACTCCTCAACTGTGAGCCCACCCTGCGAGCGGCTGGTGGCCAGTCAGCAAGGGAGAGTGGCCACGAGCACGCCCACGCTCAGCAGCACACCTCAGCAGCAGAAGAGCTTGGCAGGAGGGCAGATGGAGGGGAGCGGCAGCAATGGCAGCATGCCAAAGCAGTGCCGCCGCAGCCGCGGGGCTGCTATGAGCCGGCCAAATCTTGCGGCGGCAGCGAGGCTGGCGCAGCTCAGCGGCCCCCTTCCCTGACACGCCCCTCCTGCCTGCCTGCCTGCCCTTTCGCGCCGCCGCGCAGACCGCAAGGACGGCACGCCGTTTTGGAACCTGCTGACCATGACGCCCATCAAGGATGAGATGGGGCGGGTGATCAAGTTTGTGGGTGTGCAGGTGGATGTGACCAACAAGACAGAGGGGCGCGCATACACCGACTCGGCGGGCGTGCCCATGCTAGTGCACTACGACGACAGGTGGGGCGGGGGTGGAGGCGGCGGCGGCCTGGCGGCTGCGGCTGCGCAGGGGTTCGGGCCGCTGGCGGGAGTATGATGGGCACAGGAGGGCCAGCAGGCCGCAGAGGGCAGCTGGCCGGGGGGGACGCCTCGCGCAGGGAGCCGGCAGATGCGTTCCTGCCGTGGCCTGCTGGGCCCTGGCTGCCGCGTGCGGCGCAGCGGTGGCGCCTCGTGCAATGTGGCATGCAGCTGATGAGCAGCGCTGCCGCTGCGCCTGCTGCCTCCGCCGGCGTGCAGGCTGAAGGAGACGGTGGCCAAGCCGATTGTGGACGACGTGCTGACGGCGGTGCAGGAGGCGGATGGCAAGGTGCCGGTGCGGCTGTCGCGGGGCAGCCCCTCGCGCGCGCTGCCCCGCGTGGCGCTGGATCTGGCCACAACCGTGGAGCGCATCCAGTCGGTGAGACTTTTTAGTTTTTTGCACGGCGGTCTTGCCTGCGTTGCTTTGATGTCTTGCCTGTGTTGCTTTGCTGAGCGGTGGGCACGCTGCCTGCGGTCTGTGTTGCTTTGCTGGGCGGTGGGCACGCTGCCTGCTCGCCCAGCTGGCTGCGCCTGGCTGGCGCCCGCGCACTGCTGGCGGCTGTGCGGCAGGCCACGGGCATGCCCAGGGGCTGTGTTTGGGGATGCGCGCCTCACTTGCCCGCCGCTGCTCTGCCCACACACCTGCAGAACTTTGTGATTGCGGACCCCACGCTGCCCGACTGCCCCATCGTGTTTGCCTCGGACCCGTTCCTCAAGCTCACAGGGTACCGCAGAGAGGAGGTGCTGGGGCGCAACTGGTGAGCAGCCGCCTGCCACGGGCGGCCCTGCGCTGCTCTGCTGTGCGGCGCTGGGCCGAGTGCGGCAGCCTGCTTGTCGAGGCGCGGCCTCTGTTTTCTCCTCTCTCAGGCGGGCTGGTTGGTCGGCTTTGCTGTTTGCACCTGCCTGCCCGGCGCTGGCAGCACACTCTTCGACGCACCGCCCCCGCCCCCGCCGACCCCGCAGCCGCTTCCTGCAAGGCCGCGACACCGACCGCGCGACGGTGAACGAGCTCAAGGCGGCGATCCGCGCGGGGCGGGAGTGCACCGTGCGCATGCTCAACTACACCAAGGCGGGGAAGCCCTTCTGGAACATGCTGACAGTGGCGCCCATCAAGTGAGCCGGCGCGCGGGCAGCGGGCAGCTGGGCAGCGGGCGGGGCTGGCTGGCTGGCCCGGCCCGGGCGGCCCGCCGGTGCCAGCAGGGGTGGCCCGGGGTGCGCCGTCGTGGTCTGCTCGCCTGCACCCATCCTGGGAGCCCAGCCGCTGACCGCCTCTCCCTGTCCCCCCACCTTGCCTGCGTGTGCAGGGACATTGAGGAGCGGCCGCGGTTCCTGGTGGGGGTGCAGGTGGATGTGACGGAGCACGCCACCGCCACGGACGCGGCGCCGGTGGGCGCGCAGGCCGCCAACATTGTGGGTCAGGCGCTGCAGAACATGAACTGGGTGGGCGTGGACCCGTGGGCCACCTTCCCCAGCGGGCTGGTGGAGCCCAAGCCGCATCGCAGGATGGACCCCGCCGCCGCGGCGCTCAAGGAGGCCGTGCAGCGCGACGGCAAGCTGCGCCTGCGCCACTTTGCGCGCGTCAGGCAGCTGGGCAGCGGCGACGTGGGCATGGTGGACCTGGTGCAGCTGGTGGGAGGGGAGCACCGCTTTGCGCTCAAGAGCCTGGAGAAGCGGGAGATGCTGGAGCGCAACAAGGTGGGGTGGGCGGGGCGGCTGGGGGCATATGGTGTGGCGGGGAGCTGTGTGTCACCACACACAGGCTGGGGCGTGCACGCCAGGTGCAGGACGGGCGCGTGGCAGCACGCGTGCTGCCGGGGGCTGCTGCCGCGTGCGCCTGCCGGCACGTCGCTCCGATGCCGTGCGGCGGCTGGCCCACACGTGCCGCGGCGTACGCGGCTGCAGGTGGGGCGCGTGCGCACCGAGGAGTCCATACTGTCCAAGGTGGACCACCCCTTCCTGGCCACGCTCTACGGCACGCTGCAGACGGGTGGGTGGCCACCGCTGTGGTGTGGTGCGCTGTCGTCGACCGGGGGGTGGTGCAACCGCGTGAAACGCTGGGCTGCGGCTGGTGGCTGCGGCGGTCGTCTGGTGTGCAGAGCGAATGCGCCTGCAGGGCGCAGCGCCGCGCCCGAGCCCGCCCACCCCTGCTGCGTACTGCCGCCGATCCACCGGTGCCTGTTCACCCACCCACTTGCCCCCGGCGCTGCCGCAGACACCCACCTCCACTTCCTGCTGGAGTTCTGCTCTGGCGGCGAGCTGTACGCCCTGCTCAACGCGCAGCCCAAGTGAGGGAGCTGGCTGGGGAGTGCCCTGCCTGGGCAGGCTGGGCGGTGTCCCTGCCTGCCCCGTGCCCTGGCTGTGTGCTGTGGCAGGGCGCCATGCTGCTCCTGGTGGCGGCGCTCGGCCGGAGGCCGTCGTGTGTTTGACGGTGGTCGTGCTGCCCGCGCCGCACGCCCTGGCTGCAGCAAGCGGCTCAAGGAGGATGCGGTCAAGTTCTATGCGAGCGAGGTGCTGCTGGCGCTGCAGTACCTGCACCTCCAGGGCTTTGTGTACAGGTGGGGGGGCGGCCTGTAGTGAGCAGTGGGAGCAGCTGCTGCTGGCGGGCGGTCCTGGCTGGGCTGGGCTGGGTGGATGGGCCGTGGGGCCAGCGCCTGCCAATGCCACCTGGGTTGAGGTGCCGGGGCGCGCCCGCCTCCCCGTGGCGCAGAGACCTGAAGCCCGAGAACATCCTGCTGCACGGCAGCGGCCACGTCATGCTCACCGACTTTGACCTGTCCTACTGCCAGGGCAGCTCCTCGCCCTCCCTGCTGGTGCTGCCCGCCGACCACCCGTCAGTGGCGCCCGCGGGCGGCGCCGCCGCGGCCAGGCCCGAGGGCCGCGAGTCGCGGCGCGGCAGCAAGGACTCGGCGCGCGTCAGCAAGGACGGCGGGCGGCGGCCGCTGGCGCTGGCCTCGGGCCAGCACGTGCTGCTGGTGGCGCAGCCCGACGGGCGCGCCAACTCGTTTGTGGGGACGGAGGAGTATCTGGCGCCAGAGGTCATCACAGGTGGGGGTGGCGCCTGTGTGTTGGGGGGGGGGGGGGGGGGGGGGATGGCAGCTGTGTGTGTGTGTGCAGGGGCCAGCCCTGTGTGTGCGCGGGGCCCAGCCCTGGCGCCGAGCGCTGTGCGGCGCGGCATGCGGAGGCACCGGCGCCGGCCGTTCAGCACGGGACGGCGGCGGCGGCGCCGCTGCTGCGCCTGAGCTGCGCTCGTGCCGGTCCTGCCCCGCGTCCCCTCGCAGGCTCCGGCCACACCAGCATGGTGGACTGGTGGTCCTTTGGCATCCTCATTTATGAGCTGCTGTACGGCACCACACCCTTCAGGTGTGGGGCACAGGCAGGCCTGCTGGTGGGCAGGCGCGCGGCTCGGCCCCGCATCCGCCGGGCCCAGCCGGCCCGGCCCGCACGGCTGGCGCGGCCGGCCTTAGCCCCGAGCCCTGGTCCCGCCGCAACCGCAGCCACTCACCACCGCCCTGCCCCGCCCTGCCCTGCCCTGCCCGCTGCCGCCCCTCTTACCAATGCAGGGGCTCCCGCCGCGACGCCACCTTTGAGAATGTGCTGAAGAAGCCGCTGGCCTTCCCCGACTCGGTGCCCGTGTCTGCCGAGTGCAAGGACCTCATCACGCAGCTGCTGGCCAAGGTGGGTGGGTGGGTGTGGTGGGTGGGTGTGTGGGGGGGGGGGGGGCGGATCCAGCGGGAGGGGAGGAGGAGGAGCAGGTGGAGGGTACATAGGGGCGCAGGGGCTCGCTCAGGGCGTGGGTGTTTTGAGGGAGAGGGCCCCGGTGAGGTGGGAGGAATACCGCCCCCAAGCCCGCCGGCCCTGCGGTGTGCTCCCTCCACGCTTGAGAGCCACCAGGCGCGCGCCTCTGCGCTCCTGCTGCCATCGCTTCGCCTGCCCACGTACGCCCGGGGCGCTCCTCCCGCCATGGCCACGGCCCGCCTGCAGGAGGCGAGCAAGCGGGTGGGGTCGCGTGCCGGCGCGGACGAGATCAAGCGCCACGCCTGGTTTGCGGGCCTCAACTGGGCGCTGGTGCGCAACCAGAAGCCGCCCTTTGTGACGCCGCGCAAAACCAGCACCTCGTCTGGTGGGTGCATGCGCTGCAGCCTGAGCCCGCCGCCAGGCCTGCAGCCCCTGCCCATGTGCTTGCCTGCACCGCTTGGTCGCCGCGCCGGGCCGCTGCCTGCCAGCCACGGGAGGCGTCTTGCTCGCGCGGCGGTGCCTGGCAGTGGTCGGGCCTGCGCCGCCTGCCCAGCAGGCCACGCTACGCCTGACATCCCCGGCAGCCCATGCGCGCGTGTCTCCCTGCCTCACACCCCTCCCCACACACACACGGCTGCCACCTGCAGACGTCCCCAACTCCCCCATGTCTGACAACGCCTTCCGAGGCAAGTCTGCGGAGTCGCCGCTGCCGGCCGCCGCCGCGGCGGTGCTGGACGCGCAGCTGCACCACAAAGCCAAGTCGGAGGCGGCGGCGGCGCCCGCGGGCCCGGGCCACATCGACGGCTTCTGAGCCGGCGGCACGCCTGGTGGCAGCCCAGCTGGGCAGGCGGCCTGCCATAGTTTCCATGCATCATGGAACGCTCCCTCCCAGACCAGCCGGGGGGAGAATGAGTTGCCGGCCGCAGCGCGGCCAGGCAGCTGCCAGGCATGCAGGCCCGCGGGGTGGCACTGCCCACCAAACCAACAACGCAACGCTATTACAGGATCCCCAACTGCCCCCAAGCCTGACGCCTCCAAGCCCCCGCCTCTCCCCAGCACCTCAATAGCAGCACCCAACGCACCAACCAAGTTTTCTCGCAATGCAATACGCGCCCACCCACCCACCAGGATCGCGCGCATGCCCCACAACCGCACGTGCCTCTCTCTTGCGGCAGCGGCGCCTGCCCCACACTTGCTCATGGCCACCCACCACTTTTGGCACAGAGTATGGATGTCTTCCTTGGTATGCAGCCACCCCCCCACTGTATGCAGCCACCCCCCCACTGCCCCACTCGTTTGCCAGACACCCCCCTCTCTTTTCCACTGCCTGCCTCATCGTTGTCTGTGCCAGCCTGAACTGCCTCCCTTTCGTTCCTATTTGTTGAGCTGGTTTTGATGCTGCGGCAGCGCCCTGTTGCGAGCTGCTGCCGCCCTGTCCTTGATCTCATAAGCGCTGCGCTGGTGCGCTGCCTGCTGGGCCTCTCCCCTCCCCATGCCCATGCACACTCGTGCCTGCACCACCACCGCCAGACATGCTGAAGCTCTGCCCCGCCCAGATGCTCTGCTGTCTTCCCCAGCATCCTGCGCTGCCCAGGCAATCGCGCACGCAAGCAATCGTCCACCCTTTCACTTTACCCCTCAATTTTCGAGTGATTGTTGCGCCAAGGAAGCGCACAGCTGTCCTCCCTCCTTTGACCTCCGCTGTAAGCCAAGTAGATTGACACAAGCTTGCAAGAGCCCAGCCTAGGAGAGGCGGCAATAAGTGATCCCTTCAATGGGCCCTGGCTCAGCAGGAAGGGGCACTCTCATACACAACCAGCACATCAAAGGTGCGGTAGGAGCCAGCCCGTATCGCCGACCAGCCAGCCACCTCGCCAGCAGCAGCCAGGTAGCGCTGGGCGGCCTCGGGCGGAATGCCGACTGCGTCGGGCGCCGCATCAGCTGCCGCAGCCAGCCGGGCCTGCAGCGCCGGCTGCCACCAGGCGGCGTAGTGGCTGTCGGGGCGCCGGCGGCCGGGCGCCCGCACCGGCACGCGCTGGATGGTGCGCAGGAAGCGGCGGGGGTCGCCGTCGGGGCTGGGGATGCTGAGCTCCTGGGGGGGGCCCTCTGTGGCATGCTCCTCCAGCAGCTGGCAATACGACAGCCTGCAGCCAGGGAGAGGCAAGGGCAACCGGCAACCCGCCAGGGCACGCCGTGCTTGAATGCCGACGCAGCGGCGCAATGCAGTGTCGAGAGGCGGATGCCTGGAGGCCCATCGGCAGCAGGTGAAGCACAGGCAGCCGCTGCCATGGGGAGAGCCAGCCTCCATGCGGCACGGCCGATCCCGGGGGACAACCCACCGCAGGTGGAGGCTCCGCATGCGGGGCAGCGCCGCCACCAGCCGGTCTGCCTCGCGCTCTGTGGGGGCCTCGTCAGACCACGTGACCTCCGGGGCGGCAAAGAAGGTGGTGGCGGCCAGGTGGGAGATGTGGAGGGAGGTGAGGGTGGTGAGGCGGCGCAGCTGGGCCCAGTCCAGGCGCGGGTGCAGCACCAGGAAGTGCTCGTGCGTGTGGGCCAGGGCGATGTGGAGGTGCTGCAGGCGGGCGAGGGGCAGCAGCGAGAGGCCCACCGCGCCCTTGCCCGCCGCCGTGAAGGCCAGGGAGGTGAGGCGAGTGAGGCAGGACAGTGCCTCGCGCTCCTCCTCCTGCACCTGCGGCACAGCACAGCACGGCAGGTGATGTGCACAGGGTGGCGGTCGGCGCAGGCCCCTGCTACTGGCCACAGGCAATGCTTGCGTGCGTGTCCTATGTATGCTTGTGCACCTTCTCCCCTGCAGCAGCAGCGCAGCCAAGCTTGCCTGCAGGTGACGGAGGGATGCCAGTGCCGAGACGCGCGACACCGGCAGCATGCCACCGTCGGTAAGGCTCAGCGCCAGCGACGTCAGGTGATGCAGGCGTGTGACGCAGAGCAGGTCCCGCTCCGCTGGCACAATGTCGTCCAGCTGCAGCAGCTGCAGCTGGGGCGCCAGCTGGGCCCTGTCGTCGGCCGACAGCAGGACCATGCGGTCGGGGGCGGAGGCCAGCACCAGGCGGCGCAGCGCCGGCATCCGCGCGGCAGTCAGCTCCGGCAGCAGCTCCCGTAGCTGCCCCGTGCCCAGGATCTGCACCAGGCACAGCTCGTGCAGCCGCGGCAGCAGGAAGGCGTCGCTGCCACGGAACGCTGGCCGCGGCTCAAAGGGCAGAGCCATGCAGTCCAGGGCGCCCGCCGTCCACGCGGCGTCTGCAGCTGCACGCCACTCTGTGCACACCAGCCGCACAGCGCCTCTGGACGCCTGGTCGCCCAGGTGCGGCAGGATGACGTGCAGCATCGTGCCCCAGTGGAGCCCCGCTGGCAGGACGGGCCGGTGGGCGGGAGTGTCGTGTCGGCTGCTGCAGCGGCTGCAGCGGTGCTTGCTGCTCCCCCCATCTTCGTCGCTGGAGACAATCCGTTTGTGTTAGCCTCTGCTGTGACTCACAACTGCGAGAGCCGATGAGGAGGCACTGTTGTGGGCCAGCTCTGCAAACAGCTTGGTGCAGAAGCCGGCGTTACCCTGACAGGGACAATCAATCATTGCAATTGGGAGCGGGCAGCGAGAGAGAGTCAGCCCAACGCCACGTCATTTTTCTAGCGCCAATCTGGCTAGTCTCGTGAGCTCCAGCATTGCCAACTCCTGGCACAGTCCTCGCACAGCTCATACGTTGCCGAGCCCAGGCCATGGCCTGGCAAACACGCTCTCCCCCTGCTGCTCCCAGCGCTTAGGCCACCATGGCGGCCGACACGGAGCCCCAGTATGGGCTGCGCAAGCGCCGCAAGGTGCAGGCGGCCAGGTGCGACCCCATCCAGCAGTTTGAGTGCTCCCCTCCGCCCCCGCCTTGCGCTTCTGCCTTGTCCAGTGTCGATGCGAGCCGCAGTGGGCGGCCGGCAGGCGGGAATGTGCGGCGCATGACGCGTCACGTGCCAACGGCGGGTAGCGGGCCGCCCCCTACCACCGTTGCTCACGCTCCCTCCGTGCTGCGCGCAGCAACGAGGGCGAGGCCTCGCTGGAGCGCCTCCTGGAGGTGGCGGCCACCAGCCAGAGGATAGTCGTCTTCTCCGGCAGCGGCCTGTCGGCCTCCTCGGGTGCGCCGCGCGCCGCACCAGTCGTCGGGCTCGGCGCCTGCCGTGCGGGCTGCCTTCTCGGTTGAAACGCTTGACCGAACACCGGCTCGCCGCGCCGCAGGCATGTCCACCTTCAGCACGCGTGGCGGGCTGTACGAGCGGGCACAGAAGCAGTACAAGCTCAGCGACGGCAAAATGCTCTTCACCTATCTCTTCTTCGACCGCCAGCGCCCCGAGGCCCAGGCCTTCTTCGCCGACATCTACAGGTGGGCGCAGCACATGCGGCGGCGGGCCGGGGCACGGCTGCCGTCCGGGGCCGCCCCGTGAGCGAGGATGTGCGGCAAACAAACACCGCGGTGCACTTCTGCGCCACAGGCAGCGCCCTCACGCATGGCTTTTGGCTGCGCTGACGCTGCCGGCTGTGGGCTGCCTTGCAGCGAGGCGGTGCGCGCGGAGCCGGCGCCGGGGCACCACGCGCTGCGGCAGCTGCTCGACGCGGGCCGCCTGCACCGCCACTACACCCTCAACATCGACGGGCTGGCGGAGGAGGTGGGCATGGCCACGTGGCACCACGAGCACAACACGGGCGGCGTGACTGTGGAGATGCATGGCAACGTGCGGCACCTGGTCTGCCCAGAGTGCTACGCCACTCAGCCCATGACGGCCGCGCTGGCCAAGCGGGTGGGTGCGGTGCGGGGGAGGGGGCGTGAGCCGGGGCGGGCTGTGCGGCGCTCGTGGTGCACGTGGGGTGGTGGGCATGTTTGCTTGGGAGCCGGAACCGCCCACTGCAACAGCGCGACATCAAGCCTGCCGGCGCCAGCCTGGCCGGCGGCCTGGCGTGGGCACATGCTTTGCTCACCCCTCGCTGGCTCGCTGCCCCCCGCTGCTGCGCTCAGATCAAGACCAAGGAGGCGGTGCCGTGCGGGGACGCCGGGTGCGGCCACGGCGCCATGCGCTTCAAGGTCATGATGTACGACGATGGAGAGGGTGAGGGTGTGTGTGCAGGGGGGGCGGCGGTGGAGGTACAGCTGGGGGGCGGCAGGGCTGCTGGCCTGCCAGGATTGCTTGCCGGCGGCCCGGGGGTGCGGCTGGCGGCAGGCCCCTCACCCACCCTGCCCCTCGTGTCCTCTCCGCCGTCCCGGCCATCATGCTCTCACACCCGCCGCCCTCTCCTGCTCCTGCCGTGCCCCTGCAGCCGAGTGCATCACTCCCGACGATGTGATGGAGTTGATGGAGGAGGATGTGAAGGCGGCGGACCTGGTGCTGTGGGTGGGCATCTCCTTCCAGCAGAGCGCCTCCACCCTCTACTTCCGCAAAGTGAGGTGCTGGATACAGGTGAGAGAGCACGCAAGGGGGCGGGGCGCGGCGCTGGGCGGGGCCAAGGGCAGGGGAGGGGGGCATGTGGGGCTAGCATGGAGCGCCATGGTGGCCGCACGCAGCCGCCCGATGCGTCTCCAGCCTCCCGCACAGAAGCGTCAAAGGCCCAGCCACGCCACGCCCGCAGCGCCGCCGCCAACGCATCCCTGCCACCGCCATCCCTCCCATGTGCCGCCTGCCCTGCAGGAGGCGGGGCGGCTGGGGGAGACGGTGCAGGCGCTAGTGAACCCCAGCGACGAGGCGCTCTTCAACCTGCGCACAGCCATGAGCAACCAGTCGGAGTTGAGGGTGCTCGAGGTGCTGGCAGAGGCGGATGAGGTGCTGCCCCTCATGGCAGACCGCCTGCGGCAGCACGGCGCTCTGGAGGGCGGCGGCCGCGCCGCGCCGGCAGCGCGCACGCCATGCAGGCCGGCACGGGCAGAGGCGCAGCCTGGGGCGGCCGCGGATGTCAAGCAGGAGGCTTGCGTGCCGGTGCCGGCAGCGCAGGGCAGCCTCCCAGCAGCAGCAGCAGCGGCAGCAGCAGCAGCCAACGGGACGCACCAGCGGCTGCCGTCGCCGCAGCTATTGCCGCAGCAGCAGCTGCTGGAAGCAAAGCCGCAGCAGCTGCCACCTGCTCAGGCGCCAGCCGCCATGTCGACGCGTCAGGCCCTGGTCCAGACGGTGGGCGCAGCCGCCACACAGGCCACCCTGCAGCAGCACCACGCTACGGTGCAGGCGCTGGACAGCCTGTCTCGGGTGCTGCAGGCGATGCAGACCATTGCCAGCTCGCAGCAGCAGCAGCAGCAGCAGCAGCAGCAGCAGCAGCAGCAGCCAGGCATGCCGGGATGGCGGCATCAGCAGGCATGGCAGCAACCGCTGCTGCCCCAGCAGCAGCAGTCTTGGCAACAGCCCTCCCCTGCGCAGCAGCAGCAGCAGCAGCAGGCGTGGCAGCAGCAGCTGCACCCTCAGCCACAGCCGCAGGTGTCGCTGGATGCGCTCCGCACGCTGATGCAAGCTGTGGGCGGGCTGCAGCACCCTGCTGCGACCCAGTCATACAGCTTTTTGCCACTGCTGCTTGCCCAGCAGCAGCAGCAGGCGGCCGCCGCAATGCTATCAGCCAATCTGCCGCTGCCAGTGCCAGTGCCGCCAGCCAGCGCTGCTCCGCAGCCTGCGGGTGTTCCTCTGACGTCGCCAGCAGCAGCGCCAGCTGTGGCAGCAGCGGCAGAGGCTGCCGCTGCGCCGAAGCAGCCTCAGTCGCCGCGGGGCGTGGTGCTACAGGAGCAGGACAGCCACGATAGCGACCAGCTGAACCCGCCTCCAGCTGCCGCCGCGGCGCCCACCTCGGCTGTACACTAGCCGCTGGCACACGCAAATCATGGGCGCCGCGTGAGCTTCTGTTTCATCTCACAGGAATCCTTGCTGCCTGACACTGCCTTTCATTCCTTCCTTTTTTATCAAAGCTGGCCTTATTTTGCTACTACAAGATACAACCTGTTTCCTGTTTCAGCCCATATGTTAACCACACCCTTAAGAACCAGTCGTGTGAACTGCGGCTCGCCTCTAGCACTGCACCTGGCATGGTACAATGAGTGCATGAGACGGGGGCTCATCAGGAAGTGCAACAGGCACCGCTGCGTACCTACAGCTTTGCAATGGGGGAGCACCTTTGCGAGCAAGCCGGCAGGCTGTGGGCTACCTCACACCTGCCCACCCCTGTCGCTTTCAGTCATTACATTAAACAAGTACATCCAATCGTTGTGAGCTCCGGGAAGAGAATGGGTAGAAGGTAGAGAGATTGATTGAGCCAGCACGCTACCCGGCAAAAGAATGTGATGTTGTGGCCACTCAGGAGAACAATCAAACTCGCAGGGGTACAAGAGGAGGAGAGGTTCCCAGGGGTGTACATAGCAGGAGGAGCTGGGTCAGGTCAAGAGGATTAGCTGGTGGAAAGAAACAGGCTGCCGCCAGGTCGATGCCAATGTGCACAGCCGCATGTGTGTGCTGTTTGGCATCCCGCCCAGCGCCAAAGCCGACTGCGCTGCTGCCTGATGCTGCTCGTTCGAGTGACTACCTATTTCAAGACGCCGTGGTGGGCGCCGTCGCTATCAACTACCGCCGAGCCGCTGCTGCACTCCAAGGCTGGCCGTCCCAAGGGATGGGATGGGGCTAGAAGTGCCGGCTGGCCGGCCCACCCAGGGGCGTGCCCCGCCATGCCCCCGTCACCGGATCAGGGTGCGCATCATGGACCCCATGCCGCTGTCGCTGCCAGAACCCTGCGCCTTGGGCCCCGGGAACACATTCCAGAAGCGAAGCGTCTCGTCGCCCGCGCCTGCATGGAAAGGAGGGGGCGGGAGGGGGGAGGAGTGGGGGAGGTCGAGGCACACGCAGCTGCCCGCCAGTCGGCCCTCCCTGCACACCAGCAGTGCAGCGCAGCCACATCCCGGCACATGCCAGCTCTGCTGCAAGCAGGCCCGCCCACCCGTGACTATGGTCTGGCCGTCTGGGGAGACGGCGAGGTACAGGACGCGCATGGTGTGCCCCGTCAGCGTGGCCAGCTTCTGCATGGTGGGGTACCGCCACACGATGATCTGGTTCTGGCTGTACCCGTGCGTGCTGACCAGCTCGTTGATGTTCTTGGACCACGACAGGTTGCACACCTGCAGGGGGGGCAGGCAGGGGCAGAGCCAGGACGGCGGCGGGAGGGGGTGTTATGTGGAGGTGGGGCGCGCAGCAGGTGGCCGGGGGGGGGACCCTCTGCTGGGGGCCAGGCAGGGGCACGGCGCTGCGCGCCGCCTCTCCCTCTTGCCCCCCCACCTGGCTGCCCGTGTCGATGCACTGCAGCGCCTGGCCCGTGGTTGTGTTCCAGAAGCGGATGCAGCGGTCGGCGGTGCCGCCGCCGCTGACCAGCAGGCCGTGCTGGTGGGGCGACCAGGCGATGGCCTTCACTGCCGCCTGGTGCTCCGAGAAGCGCAGCACGGGCTGCGCGCTGTGCTGGTGCCACACAAACAGCTGGTTGTCGTTGCCGCCGCTGGCCAGCTCGCGGTCGTCGGGGGACCAGCGCAGGCCGCAGACCTGCATGTGGGGGGAGGTGGGGTTGGGGGGCAGCAGCAGGGGGCCACGCAATCAGGGGCCGGCATCGGCATCTACACGAGCAGGTGGAAAGGATGGACGCCCAAGAGCGGGACGCACAGGCGGGCAGCTCCCAGGGAAGGCACAAACGGGCAGCACATGCACAGGCAGGGGCTCAAAGGGGGCGGAGGCTGCGGCAGCCGCGCCCACCTCTGACCGGTGCCCGCCCAGCTTCTGCACATAAGGCTCCGGCGCCCGCACATCTCGCAGCAGGATGCTGCGGTCCCGGCTGCCCGTGGCCAGCGTGTGGTGGCTCCACGCCATGCACCCCACGCGCTGCTTGTGCCCCGGAAATGTGCGTATCCTGCAGGCGCAGCCAGCAGGCAGGCGGGGCAGCGATGAGTGGCCGAGCCGCATCCCTCCTGCGCTGCTCCCCGGCAGCTGAGACGCGCAGCTGGCGCCCGGAGCGAGGCTCGCCCGCCCCCTTGCCCGGCACCAGCGGCCGCCACGATGCACGGGCCCACACCGGCGGCGCGCGGCCGCCCGCTCACACCACCCGCACCCGCGCCCGCCCCCGCACCCACCGCTTGCACTTGGTTGTGTCCCAGACCTGCACCTCGCCCTTGTCGCTGCCGATGGACAGGTAGGAGCCGCGCTGGCTCCACGACACGCTGCACACGCCGCCGCCCTCCCCAAAGTCCACCAGCCGCGTGACCTTGGAGGTGCAGGCGGACCAGAGGTACACGCAGGTGCCCAGCCCCACCGCCAGCGTGTTCTGCGCCGACCAGTCCACCAGGTTGAGGTAGTAGTCGTCGGCCAGGGCGGGGGCATCCAGCACCTGCGCACACAGCGCATACGGGTGCGGGTGTGGGCGGACGGGCAGGTGTGGTGCGGGGGGTGCTGGGGTGTGTTATGGATGCGGGTGTGGGTGGCATGGACAACCGCGCGCCACGGCCAGCCCCGTGCCACGGCTGACCAGGCAGCGGCGGCAGGGAACGAGCTCTCCCACGCAAGCGCACGGCGACGGCGGGATGGCTGCCACCCGGCCTCCGGGGCGGGCCCACCTTGAAGGGTGCGCGCGGTATCTTGCGCAGCATGCGGGTGGGGCTGGCCAGGGTGGAGGCCACGCTGTCGTCGCCGCCGATGGGGCCCCGCGCGTACGGCGACTGCGTGGGCAGCCCCGCGGTGGGCGTGTCCACGTCGCCGGCCATGTAGCGGAAGAGCTTGCGCGAGGGGCTGCGGGCGGCGGGGGTGGGCGGGGCAGCGAGGGCAGGGTGAGGGGCAGGGGGGCGGCGTGAGAGGGCAGGCAGCGCGCAGAGCAGCGGCTGTGGTGGCTGGTTGGCCCAGGCAGGCAGGCGCCTGCCCCATGCAAGGCGTTGGACCCTGCGCTGAAACCCGGCCCCCTCGCAGGCTTTGCATGCCGGGTTCTGGCCCCGACCCGCACCTCTTGCTGGGTGAGACGGGGTGGGCGCCTGAGGTGGAGGCCACGCCCGCCACGCCCGCAGCGCCCGCGCCCTTCTCCGGCGACACCGGCGCCGCGGGGCAGCCCAGCAGCTCGCTGCGCAGCAGCATGTTGTACGCGCCGTTGCTCTCCTCCTTCTCCGCCGTGCGCCGCGGCGTCTCGGAGGCCGCCGCCTCGCGGTCCAGGATGGAGAAGTCGAGACGGGAGGAGGTGGCGCGGGAAGGAATGAAGCGGTCGCTGTACACGACCTTGGGGCTCCTGCGGCGGCAGGCGGCGGCAGGGTGGTGCCGCAGGAGGGGAGCGGGACTGAGCAGGGGTGCAGCAGGGCGCAGGAGGGGCAAGGGAGGTGGGCGAGCCACGGCGGCGCCACGGCCAGCATGCCCCCATACTTCAGGTGGTGCTGTTGGGCCAAAACCCCGCAGCCTGCCCACCTCAGCGGCGTCTGCCCGAAGGCCGCGGGCCTCTGCTTGACGGGAGAGGAGAAGGCCTGGTGCTGCTGCGGCTCTGGCAGGCCGCTGCCGCTGGCGCCGTCTGCGCCGCCGCTGCCACCGCCGCCCTCCTGGGCGCCGCCGCCGCTAGTAGAGGCCAGGTCCATGACACTGCTGATTATTCGGCTGGTCTCTAGAGTTTATTCAGCTGCAGGTGGGGCCCCACAGCTGCCGCACGAGAGCGGCGAGGTGTGGTGTGTCGCTACTCTACTTCCTGCAAGGAAGTGTTTGACCTGCATCACAGGGGCGCAAAATTGGCGTCGGAGGCGGCCTCCCAGTGCAAGGCACAGGTCGATGGCACGGTGGGCGGTGCAGTCATCACCGCCGACGCCGACGCCGCTTGCGCTCTCAAACGCCCCGCCGCTGCCCCCTCTGACCCGTTGACCCGGATGTGGGGCCCCTCAGCAGCCCTTCCTGGGCTTGACACCCCTCCCTGGCCTTGCACATCCCCGAGATGTCGGTCGCGTCAAGTGGGCTGCCTTCAGCCCGCTGCGCAGCCCTGACCGCCCACCTGACTCGCTACAGGCTCATAAAGGGCGGAGCGGCGCGGCCTGGGGCTGCTGGAACTCCTGTTGGGTTAGTTGCTAGGGGGATCGCTGGCAAACGCTGTGCTGCGGGCCGCGGCGCTGGCCTGGAGGTGCCAGTGATTGAGGCCGAAATTCCAGCAGCGTGGGAGGGGTACATAGATGGCCTCTGGCAAGAGTGCCTCGCCTACGTGGTTCGCCCTGTCGACCAGCAGGAACAGCCACCGTCCGCCCTCTATTGCGCATGTCCATCGGCTGCAGTCCACCATTGCTGGGTCGTGCACAGGAGAGGAAGCGGCGCGCCATCATGCACATTTCTGCCGCCGCCCTGCGCCCCCGTGCGCCACAGCTGCAGGCGGCGCGGCAACGCAGCAGCAGGGGGCGCAGCAGGCGAGTGTTGAGCGTGCAAAGCCTATTCACAGGCAAGCAGCGGCAGCGCGCGGAGGCCGCCGCCAGCGGGCAGTGAACGCACCGTGCCGGTGGTTGCTGCCTGCCCTTTGTTGGCCACTAGCCCACAGACTGCTAAACACGCAGCAGGGCTGCGCGCGCCGCAACCCAGCCCTGGCATCTTAGCCTCCGCCCCCGGCCGCTGCAGGCATCGTGCAGGGCAAGGGCACGGTGCGGGCGGTGGACCGCAAGACCGACTTTTGTGTGTTTGACATTGAGCTGCCCGCGGAGCGCACCGACAACGTGCAGATCGGCGCCTCGGTGGCCATCAACGGCACTTGCCTCACCGTGGTGGCGCAGCAGGGCGCCACGCTGCGGTTTGATGTCATGGTGGAGACCCTGCGGCGCACCAACCTGGGCGCCCTGCAGCCCGGCACGCAAATCAACTTTGAGCGGTCGGCGCGGGTGGGGGACGAGATCGGCGGGCACACGGTGTCGGGGCACGTGCACACCACCGCCACCATCGTGGACGTGCAGGACACAGAGAACAACCGGCGGGTGGAGTACGAGGTGGGAGAGGTGGTGGCAGGGGGCGCAGGGGCTGGGGGCGCAGGGGCTGGCCGCCTTGCCTGTCAACTGTTCTGCTATGCCGCTCTCTGCCTTGGCGCCGTGCCGCTGGCCCGCTCTCATCTCGTGACGGCGTGCCTGGCCCCGCCCCGCCATCCCCGCACAGGTGTCTGACCCTGCCTTCATGAAGTACATCCTGCCTAAGGGCTTCATCTCGGTGGACGGCTGCAGCCTGACTGTGGGGGAGGTCACCGACACAACCTTCTCCGTCTACCTCATCCCAGAGACGATGCGGTGCGGGGGCCGGATAGCCTGGGATGCGCCCACACGATCTCGACAGCTGTGCCTGCCTTGTGGCGCCCTGCCAGCCACCCACCCCGCCTCCCCTGCCTGCCTCCCTCCGCTCCCCGCAGGGTGACCGTGGCGGGGGTGAAGGGGCAGGGTGATGTGGTGAACATCGAGGTGGAGGCGCAGACGCAGGCCATAGTGGACACAGTGGAGCGGGTGCTGCAGCGCTACCTGGAGGGAGGCAGGCTGACGCAGGCGCAGGCCGCGGCGCGGTAGCGGCGGCGGCGGCAGCGAGGCGCGCTATCATTGTACTGTACTGCCTGTTTACTCTTTCAGCGAAAGGTGTCGCTGCTGGCTGTAGGGCCTTGAACCTTGTGTCGGCTAGCCATGACTCGTTCAAGCCGTCCATCCTGTAATATTGAGTGCGCCTTTGCTGTGCTCCACCCCCGCCTCAGGCCCAGGGTGTCTGGGAGGCATATCGCCGCAGCAGCTGGTACAGATCACCAAACTCGGCAGGCGGCGGCATGTCCCCGTTCAGCAGCTGCAGGCAGTGGCATCAGAGGTGCGGCGCGGCGGGTGTGGTACCCGCCTTAGGCCACAGCAGACCGCAGCATGCAGCATGCACTCCGGATGTTGCTGCAGTGGGGCTTGCCTGCTCGGGGTTGACCTGAGTGGTGCCAAACAGCGACATGTGCCCAAACAGCTTCCGGTTCATGTCTTTGTGGGCGGATGTCCACCCCGCTGCATGACACAGCCAGCCAGGCATGACGGGTTCGCATGGCGTGCAGACAGGAAGGAGGGCAGCGCGCCAAGCCAGGGCTGCAGCAGCAGCCTACCCACCCTGCACCGAAACATTCACCATGGCGCCCGCGGCGACCGAGAAGGCCAGCGCCGCTTGAGACTTGACCGCGTCGACCCTCCGGGGGCGGGCCGCCAGGTGCCTGCGTTTGTGCGGGGCAAACGACAGCTGGCGCCTGCCGTCTTGCACCCGCCAGCATGTGCACAGCCGCTGTGGCTCCCCACCTCGGCAGGTCGCTGCCAATCATCATGGACATGTTGGCCACCAGGTGGAACTCCCCCTCCACAAACCGCTGCAGCGCGCGCTCGCTGTTGAACACAAGCAGCGTCTGCACGTACTCATACCCTGCATGCACGCCGCGAGGGTGCGCCCCTGATCGTGCCGCTGGCACCCATGGGTTGGTGAACGGGGGAGGAGAAGTCTGGGCGTGGGCAGGCATCTCAAGCTGTACCACGCACCGGCAACCAGGGCAGCAAGGACCGCACGCGTGCGGTAATAGAACGGCGCTGACCAGCTCGGAAAGCCACCGGGTGTGTCCTCCAGGCGCCTGATCACAAACCCTGCATCAATGCAGACAGTCGTTGGCAAGGGGCTGCTGTGTGATGCGTCGCCCTGCTCGCGCCCGCGGCTGTGCCTGCCCAGCTTCCTCGCCTGTGCCGCTCATCCACCCCAGCCCCAGGCCCATGCACTGCTGCGTCAGGAAGGCCACTGCTTTGGCACCGTGCAGCGCAGCCCGCAGCGCTCTGTACTCCCGCATGGCAGGAGTGTCCAGGCGCCGCAAGATGTTGACGGCACCCTCGGCATCGCGCTGCCATGCAGAGGGGCACAGCACAGGAGCGAGGTGGGGGAGTCCCCCTCGCCCTTTCTGAGGCACCCCCAGCGCTCGCCAACCGGCGTCAGCACCGGCGGCGGCCAACCTCCGCCAGCACCTGCAGGGCCAGGTGGCGTGCCTGCTCCACGCCTGTTGCCACAGACTCCACCACTGCTTCTGCTCCTTCCACGTAGCTCAGTCCGGAGGGCTCAGGGGCAAGCACCTCCATCCAGGGCAGACCCACAAGGCTGGTTAGGAAACCCTTGGACGCTGCCTGTTGGCGGCCCTGGATGGATCTCGGCCTGAAGAATGACACCAGACTCCTTAGGGCCCCATACTGCCCTGCTGGCAGCTCAGCTGAAAGGCGATTGGGTGTGTTGCAGAATGTACATGGTTACAGGGCATGCACTCGTTCTGGTTGTTGGTGCATCAATACCGTATGAATGGGGTTGGTTGTGGGCTCAGAAATTGAAAAATGAGGCGAAGGCGCGGTGCGCATACAGCTTTGCAAGAGGTTTAGCGGGGCAAAGCCCTCTCGCTGTCTATCGCAGGTCTGGAGCCGACCAGTGCGCCGTCGAGCGGGTGGGCCCCTGCCACCCGCTGCCCTCCCGGCTCAGCTGCTGCGCCAGGCTCTGCCCATCCGCCTGCTGGTAGCTGGCGGCCATGCGGGTGGGGCTGCTGCGCTGGCGCGGCGGGCTGGTGCTGCGCTCCCGCAGCGGCACCGCCTCCTCCGCCACCGCCGCGGCCGCAGCTGCAGGAGCAAGCGGGAGGCGGGGAGGCACCCCACCGTTTATGTCAGTTGCGGGAGCAATGGAATGCAGACATGTCAAGGGAAGGGCAGGGCTGCTGGGCAGGCTCGCTCACCATCCGCCTCAAACTCCCACTCGCGCCCGCCGGACCGCTGGCGCTCCGAGGCGCGGCGGCGGTCGCGGGGGTATGTGGCGTGCAGGCCGCTGTACATCAGGAAGCAGAAGATCCAGGGCACTGCGGGAGAAGAAGGAGGAGGTTGGAGGGGTTGGTTGGTGGGTGGTGGAGCGGGCAAGCCCCAAAGGGGAGGGCAAGGGAGCAGGCTACCGCCCCACTAGACAGGAGGCCCAGCCCAGCAACACACCGCCCCGTCCTGCCCATCCCAACCCTCAGCCTGCGCCCACCCGTGGTGAAGGCCAGCAGCGCCGAGCCCAGGGCCTTTGCGTTGTGCAGGTCGGCCTTGCGGTTGCCCGTCACCTTGGAGGTGCCACGGAAGCCAAACCAGTCCTCCGCCAGCATGCCCACCAGCGGCGCGGAGCAGGCGGCCATGGCGCCTGCAGCACGGAGCAGGGCAGGGAGCGGCAGAGGCCGGGGGGGGGGGGGGGCGCAGTCAGCTGCAATGCCTGCCGCTCCGCTGATCCACTCCACTCCACTCTGCCTCTACTCCAGCTAAACCCGCCCCAGCCCCAGATCAGCGCTCCCCGGCCAGCCACCCAGCCACCAAGCCAGCCAGGCCCCCACCCACCCTCGAAGCAGCGGTCAAAGGCGTAGATGAGGTTGCGCTGCGCCGCGGGCACGATCTCGGCAAAGGCGGGGTTGTTGCAGCAGGGCGCGGGCCAGGCGGTGAGCAGCGCAAAGGCGGTGATGACGCCGCGGTACAGCCACACCGCCTCCGTACCGCCGTCCATGGGCAGGCCCTGCAGCAGGGCGAGGGGCGCGGGGCAGGGGCGGGGCGTGAGAGCCAGGAGCGGTGAGTGCCGGGCAGGCAACCAGGCCAGGCCAAGCGGCCGACAACAAGCATGTGTGGCGCGAGGTTGGCGGCGGGGTGCCCGGGGCACGCGCCAAACGAGGCCCCACCTTGAACAGCAGCAGCGCAAAGGGCACCCCCACTATGACCGAAAACTGTGTGGCCACGATGCGGCCGTGGTCGGGGAAGCGCCGCGCCGCGCAGTCGCCGATCCACCCGCCCAGCAGCCCACCCAGCCCGCCGCCTGCACAGGCACAGCGCGGGGCAAGGGGAGTGGATGGGTGAAGCCGGCTGGCCAGCTGCCTTGACAAGCAGGCGTGGACGTGGCAATGATGATGATGCATCGCAGGGGTTGGGTCGACCTCGCTGCGCCACGCTGGCCGCACCACGTGGCGCATTTCACTCCCCAGCCCCGACCCCCGACTTGCCTGCCAGGTACAGGGCCACCAGCAGGGAGGCATCAAAGTTGGTCATCCCCATGAGCTGCACTCAGGCAAAGGGCGGGGGCAGGCGTGGCGGCAGTGAGCAGGCGACGTGTGGTGGGGCGGAGTCGCGGCCACAAGGGTGAAGCAGGCACGGCGCGGCAGGCAGGATGGGGTGGGGCGCGCCTGAAAGTAGAGGGTGAGGAAGATGAGGGAGGCGTAGGGCACAGAGCCCACGATGCCCTGCAGCAGGACGGCAGCAGGGCAGCAAAGCAGTGAGAGGGCAGACCAGGGGGCAGGCAACGGCCACGGGGTGCAGATGAAGCAGCAGCAGCAGCAGCAGCAGCAGGGCCAGCCAGCCTGCTGGAGCACACGGCCAGCATGCAGCAGCATGCACAGATCACAGCATGCACAGATGCACAGCATGCACAGCACGCGCAGCCGGGTGGCCACCTGGACGATGATGATTCCAAAGGTCGGGATCTTCATCACGCCGCCAACCTCCCCCGCCAGCCGCCGCACCATGGCCCCCAGCTTCTCGGCGCCGCCGCTGCTGGCCGCCTGCGCGGCGGCGCGCTGCTGGTGCTGCTGGTAGGTGGGGTCGTGCACAAACAGGAAGTTGAGCAGGCCCGCCATGGCGCTGCAGGAGCACGCAGGGGGCGCAGAGGAACCAAACTGAGAACACAAGGGCTGCCCTGCCTGTTGCT